CTTCAACTCCTGAGATTCTCTCTTCAATCTCTTGTATTGTGTTGGTTATCCTTACATCTGTAGTTTCTGATCCCTTACCCAGCTTTTCTATTTCCAGCATTCCCTCAGATTGTGCTTTCTTTATTGTGTCTATTTCAGACTTTAGGTCTTGAACTATTTCTTGTATTTTTTGGTTTGTTTTGTCTTCAATTCTTTTACGGGATTTTCTCATGTCCTCTTTGAGGTCCTCTATCATTTTCCTGAAGATGTTTTTAAGGTCATTCTCTTCTGTTTCATCTGCATCATGATATTGAGGTCTCACTGGTGTATGGTTCCTAGTCTCCGGTGGTGTCATATTGGGTTTTCTGTTGTTGGATGAGCTTTTACCTTGTCCTCTTCTCATCTTTTCTTCTGGTGGGTGTAGCAAATGTTTCTTGTTCTTCTGGTGGGTGTGGAACCACATTTCCCTTCTGGTAGATGCAAACAGATCCAATACTCTGATGTCAGTCCTCTTCTCATGGATGGAGGTGTCACTGTCAGCAGTGTTCGGGCATGCTGGGTCCTGCTGGGCTGGCAGTTGGAGGCAGAGCTGTCACCGGGCCTCAGGGTGTGGCATCCCGTTGCTGAACTTCATATGGCACGCAGGTCACTTGCGTCAGATGACTCTGAGCAGAGACGACGAGCAGGAGCTGGAAACAGCCCTTGGCCTACCTGGACCAGTGGATGGAGGCCGGGCTGTCTCTGGTTGTTCGTTGTTCGAAACCCGCCACCGCCGAACTGGGTCTGGCACGTTGGTCCCTTGTGTCAGATGATTCTGAGCAGCAATGACCATGAAGATTATTTTTTAACTCAAAGTTTTCCAAGTCTCTGTTAGTTTGTCACATGCAATTATTGACATTTCCCAGTTTCTCCATACTTGTTTATGTCCTGGCACAATGCTACTTTGTTATGCCCAAGGCACCTTTTATATTATTACTGTCACAACCCTAGTCTGCACTTCAAAAATTCTCTAATGGGAAACACCATCACAAACCAAAGGTTGGAATGGTACACTCTACTTTCTACAATACATGGGCTTGTATTCCTAGATCTTTTCTTTGTGAAAATAGGAAATGCATTTATGAATATCAACATATTGGCATATCCTTATCTATTTTACTTCTGAATCTTTTGCTATAAATAATAGAATCTGTGCACTTCTACTTCCAGATTTAAATTCAATGCTGTCTCTGCTTGTTTATTCTAATATCTTTTCTTCTATCGGGAGAGACTTGATTCTTGTCTCAGGGCTTCTATTGCTGATATAAGATGCCATGACCAAAAGTAACATGGAGAAGGGTCTATTTCATTTTTTATTTTCATATTACAGTCCATTATCAAAGGAAGTCAAGGCAAGAGCTCAAGGTAGGAACATGGAGGCAGGGACTGAAGCAGAGTCCATGGAGAAACTCAGTTTACTTGCCTGCTGCCCCCTGCTTTCTCTGCCTACTTGTATCCTCTGGGCACACCTGCAACAGGGACAGCATTGCTCACAGTGAGCTGGGACATCTACCATCAAACATCAATCAAGGAAGTGGCCCATAGGCTGGACTGTAGGCTAATTTGGTGGGGACGAATTTTCTCAATTCAGGCTACCGCTTCTCAAAGGATTCTAGCTTGTGTCAAGTTGACAAAAAACCTAACAGTGACAGACAGCTCTTATTAGTTAAATATTTATTTATAAATTCAAATATTTAAAGTTTCCTTTGTATTTGAGTCATAACATTCCACAATAGAAGAATGATAACTTGTTTTTTCTTATTTTTGGGTACTTGGATAGATTCAGGTTTTACAATTATGTTTTTTCAGTTGCAGTTTTTTCTTTTGTATAGATGACAAAATATAGATTTTAATGATTGCGCAATAATCCACTGTGTAAATGTATCACATTTTATTTATCCATTCTTATGTTGAGGGACATCTAGGTTGCTTCTAGTTTCTGGCTATTACATATAGAGTAGCAATGAATGTTGTTGAGCAAGTATCTCTATGGTAGAATGAAGCATTCTTTGGATATATGTCCAAGAGTGGTATATCTGGATCTTGAGGTAGACTGATTTCCATCTTCCTGAATAACTGACATACTTATTTTCATAGTGGCAGTACTGGTTTGCAGTCTCACAAGCAATGAATATCTGTTCCTTGTAGTCATTCCCTGCTAGCATGAGTTGTCATTTGTTTTGCTGATCTTAGTCATTCTGACAGATGGAAGATGAAATATCAATGTAGTTTTGGTATGTATTTCCCTAATGACTAAGGATGCTGAACATTTCTTTAAGTGTTTCTGAGCCATTTGAGTTTCTTTTATTGAGAATTCTCGATTTAGATACGTGCCCCCCCTTTCTTTTGGCTTTTTGAGACAGGGTTTCTCTGTGTAGCTTTGGAGCCTATCCTGGCACTCGCTCTGGAGATCAGGCTGGCCTCAAACTCACAGAGATCTGCCTGCCTCTGCCTCGCAGGTGCTGGGATTAAAGGCGTGTGCCACCCACGCCCGGCCCTGTCACTGCTTTTTAAATTGGATTTTTTGATATATAGTTTCTTGAGTTATTTATATATCTTGGCCACTACCATTTTGGCAACCTGAAGACTGACACATTTCCTCCTGGGCACCTTCCAGCTTAAACTCTGCAGTCTGTGTCTCCCAACCCCCTGCACCTGCCATATTCCTGATTTGTTCACCTGGTGACATCTCAGTTGCTTTTCTGTTTTAGTTACTCTCCTTCAACCACTTCTTGTTCTCATGATGCAGTAGTGAAAACTGAGGACTTTGTAGATAGATATTATGGATTTAAACTCTCTTTTGTCACTTACTAATATAACAGCTTTTTCCTATTTCTGAGTTCTCATCTTTATGTGATTAAATTGATGTTAAACTGTTGTCCTAAGATTACTACCTTAATAAATAATTCAATACTTGCAAAGAGAACACTTTCTGGTCTATTCACTATAAGTACCCACTAGAATGTTAAGTTATCAAATTGGACTTATCAAATCTCTGATTTTGGAAAATTGTTTCTGAGACTTTCCTCAGATTTGTGAATGTTTTCATTGTACTAAGTCCACAGACCTTAGCACAACTGATGTCATGTTAGAGGCATCATTCTAACCATAAAACCCATCATATAGACCCAAACATCTGCCAAAGATGGGAACAAAGACCTAATCCAACAAAGACTTGGGTCCATAGTTCCAGAATCTAGAAAAGTCCATAAATATACTAACCTTGATTTTAGCTTCCATCGTGCTGCTTCCTGAAGTGTGAACCAGGATGTGATTTTGTGTGTAAAAGACAAAGAAACGTGAGATTTGGGGAAGATATGTGCAGATACTGACCATCAACAAAGACTTAATAATCTCTCTCTCTCTAAATATATATTACCGTTTAACATATGATTACCTACTCTTACTAGAATTAAGAAGTTAATAAAACTGAAATGAAATAAAATAGGATTAATATAACATTACCCTAGTGAAGATGCCAGAGTAGCCACATAACAAATTTCCTTGGGTGCTTGCAGTTCAATCTTGAGTTTCTACTTTATCCCACCATTAGTCTATCATGTAATGGTCTATCAGACATCAGTGTCACAATGCCCCAAGTGTAGAGGCTTTCTGATGCATTTTGATGATCAGCACAGATAGTTTTCTTCACTTTTTAAAATACTATTTTTAAAGTCCTGGAGGCTGGAATGATGGCTTAGCAGTTAATTGATGTTATTCCAGAGGCCCAGAGTTTGCGTCTCAGCACCTATGTATGGCAGCTCATAACCACCTGTAACTCTAGCTACAGGTGACTCATTATTCTTGTCTGTCTTCCCCATGTACCTACATACATGCAAGTGTGCATACATACACACAAACTGCCCACACGTGCACATAATTAAATACATGAATCTTAAAAGTTATGAATGTGTGTTAGGTTTTACTACAAATTGTATCTGTGAAAAATCCCAGTATTGTTCTTTCCTTACATCTGTTAGTACAACATAGAATGTTAATTCATTAGCCAACAATGATCTACCTTTACTTACATAGTACTTTAAGTATGATCATATATCATTTTTATAATGTGGTATTATTGGATTTTGTTAAAAATATTTACTTTGTAATTTAGAATTGATATGAGTGACACTGGTTGGTGATTTGCTTTGTATATGTAGTTTTTAATCTATTTCATTCTCCTTATTTTTATTTTTAAGTTTTGAGACATGGTTTTTCTACATAGAGTTGGCTGCTTTGGCACTTACCATGTAGCTTAGGCTACCTCAATCCTTCCATCCCAGCCTACTCAGTCAGTGCTGGGATTTTAGGTATAAGACACTACACTGGTTTTAGTCTCCTTAGTAAAACTGTATCATTCTCTTAGTCCAGGTTCTCTTATATTCAGAATCCTTCAATGTTGGTCTGTGGCCTGTACAACAGTCAGCTGACTCTATTTTCCCTTATTGCTAAGATTTCTTTAAGGGTCACTTGCATTGACCTATGGCTGAATACATGTGGTAGTTTGAATGAGACTGTCCCTTATTGGTTCAAGAATCTGAAATCCCCGGGTGTTGTTGTTGTTTGAGTGGCTGTGTTTGGAGTTTTGGGAGGTGGTGGTACAGCCTTGCTATAGTAGGACTGGGCTTGGAGATTTCACACCCTTGCCCCACTTCCAATTTGCTCTCCTACTTCCTGATCTCTCAGCTTATTGTTTCTGCCACCATGGATGCCACCTGCTTTCATGCCTCCTCTCAGTGATGGACTCTTACACTTTGGAATTGTAAGCCAAAATAACTCTCTTCCATAAATTTTCTTTAGTCATGGTATTTTATTTCCATTCATTTATCTCATAAATAAAGCCATGCACAATTATGATACAGAATACAGTATGTTCACAATGGCATGGCTAAATTAAACCAATTAACATGTTATATCACACATATTCATCATTTTTGTTTTGAGAACACTTAAAGTATACTATCTCACAACTTTTAAAATATGTGCTTGCTTCGGCAGCACATATACTAAAATTGGAACGATACAGAGAAGATTAGCATGGTCCCTGCGCAAGAATGACATGCAAATTTGTGAAGTTCTAGTCACGGTATTTTATCATAGTAAAAAATAGTAACTGACACAGTATATTAATCAGCAAAAACTATATCTGTAATGTGACAATTCTGATTTGAAAGTGGTATACACATGAAATACAAAATAGACATACATGGTCCCCTGGAGAAGGGGAGAGGTTCAAGATCTGCCCTGCAAATTGAGAGCACGGGAAGAGGGGGGAGGACGCTAGGAGAATGAGAAGGGGAGAAGAAGAGGGATGCCGAGGATATGAGGGAGCAGAAAGTTTGAGTCAGGGGAAGAATACATGATAACAAGAATGGAGATATCATAATAAAGGGAGACATTTTTGGTTTACAGAGAAATCAGGCACTAGGGAAATGTCTGGAGATTTACAAAGATGACACCAGCTAACTATCTCAGCAATGGAAGAAAGGCTACCTTAAATGCTCTCCTCTGATTATGAGATTGGGGAACTCTTGCTCCCCAGTCTGATAGCTGGAATACCAGCATGGGACTGATCCAGACCCCAGGAACATGGGTTTCTGTGAGGAAACCTCAGAAATCTATGGGACCTCCTGTAGAAGCCCAGTATTTATCCCTAGCATAGGTGTGGACTTTGGGAGCCCATTCCATATAGAGGAATACTCCCTGAGCCAAGACACACGGGGGTGGGCCTAGGCCCTATCCCAAAGGATACAATAGACACTGATGACACCCTATGGAAGGCCTCACCATCCAGCGGTAGCAGAAAATAAGGCAAATAAGGTTTTAGTTGGGGGCAGGTAGGGGAGGACGGGTTGGAGAAGGGAACTGGGATTGTCATGTAAAACAATCTTTTTTCTAATTCAAATAAAAAAGTTGAAAAAAATAATAAAAAACAAAATGTAGGGGAAACTGTAGCCATGCCTACTTAGGGGCTGGCTACAGATAGGCCTGACCACGCTTGTGAGGGTGTGGTCAGAATGACGTAGTGTGACTGCGTTTGTGCTTTCGGTTACACTTTGGTACTTGCTGTACAGACTGCTGCCATGCCGGCTGGCTAGGTCGCTCTGTAAATAAGACTTTTCCCTATTAAATACCCTTACAAAATATATAGTTGAGAACAAATATTTAAAAGTTATATATTCAACAAATTGTGTCAAGGTATATAAAGAACTCTTAGAACTCAGTAGTAAGATGCTAAATAACACAGTCTAACTATGGGTAAAGATATGAAAATACCATGTGCCAAATGCATGATTTACCAAATAAACACATAAATGATATTTAATATTATAGTCATTAGTTACATGCAAACACAACGACAACAAGATATCACTTCAAGTGCGCAAAGAGAGCCATGATACAAAGGAAAAGAAAATTAGTAAACATCAGATAGGATGTAGAGCACATTGCTAGGAATGTAATGTAATTGCTGTGAGAAACAATTTGACAATTTCTTAAAATATAAAGATAGGGTTCCCATACACTACAATAATTTCCCTCCTAGGTGCATATATAAGAGAATGGAAAATGTAATAGTCACATAGAAACTGATATATGAGTGTTCTTAGAAGAACTGCCCACATTCTTAGCACCCAGGGAAATGCAAGTCGAAACTACTTGGAGATTCTACCTTATACCTGTCAGAATGGCTAAAATAAATAACACAAGTAACAGATCATGCAGAAAAGGTTATGGAATAAATGGAATCCATTGCTGGTGAGAGTGTAAACTTGTACAGCTACTTTGGAAATCAACATGTCAATTCCTTGGAAAGTTGGGAATCAATCTACCTCAAGATTCAGCTACACCATTCTTGGACATATACACAAACGACACCCCATGCTACCACAAGGACACTTGTTCAACCATGTTCATTTCTACTCTATTCATAATAGTCAGAAACTGGAAAGAACCTAGATGTCCTTCAACAGAATAATAAACAAAAAAATGTGGACATTTTCACAATGGAGTATTACTTCTTTGTTGTTAGAAAATGACATCATGAAATTTTCAGGGAAATGAAATGAACTAGAAGAAATCATCCTGAGTAAAGTAACCCAGAAAAATAAATTTGGTATTAGCATTCACTTACATTCAGATATTCGGTATTAAGTAAATGGTAATGAATCTAAGGTCTACAGAACCAAAGAGGATAGGTATGGAGGAAGTGTAGTAGGGACATATTGATCTCCCTGGGAGGGGAATATATAATAGATTTTATGGGTAGACTGGAAGCAGGTGGGGATAGAAACAGGAGGATGGGCCAGGGAAGAAGAAGGGAAGATAGGGTTGAGGGAGAGAATGCAAGGAGAGACATCTGGAATTGAAGAATATTTGAAGGATGAAATCAAAGCCTGCTGCAGTGGAAACTTCCTAAAATATATGAAAGTGATCCTAATGAGGTCTCTTAATAATTGGAGATATGGAGTCTCAACTGCAAATCTCTTGTCACCTAATGAGGGGTAATGGGAGTGGGACTTGATTGCATTCTATCGAGATGTTGGCTAATGGTATCCCATGGAAATCCCCAAATAAACCAGGCTGTTGTTAAGACAATGTACTGTTCTCCACAAACTGACAACAATAACACCCACACAACTCAATGAACATGGAGAAGTTGAGCTGGTGCCTACATGGAGCCTTCATCCCTACATTCTAGTGTCTTTGGTGTGGAAAGTTATTCTGCAGGCTACCAAATGAGAAATGTAAACACCAATCCTAACACAAAGCCTTTCACCTACAGTCTGTCCTACCTGCATGATATGCTAGGGCAATGGTGGTAGAGATCTTGTGGGAATAGTCAACCAATGTCTGATTTGATTTAAGGCTCACTCCACAAGATGGAATCCATACCTAACAGTGCTTGGATGGCTAAGAACCTGAAACTAGATGGCACAGAGTAAAACCAAATACTACTGGTTTAAAAAGTAAAAAAAAAATGACTAGAATGACTCTGAATGATATTCTGCTATACTTATCAGTGCCTTACTCAGTCATCATCACAGAAGTTTCCTTCAGCAGCAGATGGGAGCATATACAGAGACCCTCAGCCTGACATTTTGTGGAGAGAGAGAGAGAGAGAGAGAGAGAGAGAGAGAGAGAGAGTACATATGGTATTTCTTTTTCAAATCCCTCCCCTCAGGCCTCAGAGAACCCCAGGGTAAAGGTGAGAAGAATATAAGAGCCAGAAGGAATGAAGAACACTAGAGAACTAGGCCCTCTGAATCAACTAAGCAAGGTGTGTATGAGCCCCCAGGGACTGAAGCAGCAAGCACAGAACCTACATGGATCTGCACCAGGTCCTCTGCATATACATTATAGCTTTCAGCTTAATGTTTTTATTGGGCTCCCTAGTGTGTGAATGACTGGGTCTCTGATTCTTGTGCCTGTTCCTGGGGCTCTTTTTCTTCTGTTGGGTTACCTTGTCCAGCCTCAATGTGATGCTGTTTTTGTTTTATTTTATTTTGCCATGCTAAAAATAAATGAATAAACAAACACATAAAGTAAAAAAAATGAACTATTCAGAGTCAACAAGATACCAAAAAACATTCTAACCGATTAGTAGATACGGAAAAATATGGCAATTGTGTTGCAGAATACTGCACAATTATAAAAAGAATGATGCAATGACATTCTATAATGTGGACGAAGCTTAAAATCATGTAAAGTAAAAGAAAATCAGTCTCTCTGTGTGTCTCTGTGTCTCTGTCTCTGTCTCTCTCTGAGTGTGTGTGTGTGTGTAGGGGGTGGTGATGGCAGATCCATGAAGTAGAAAGTAGGTTAGTGAATTCCTGGAACTATGTGTAAACAAGAATTGACTGAGTTGAATACAGTGGAAGAGAAGTTCTAAAACTTGGTAGTAGAGATCATTGTACAGATGGTGAGTTTTTTTCAGAAAATTAGCAAAGTGAATATATAAAACAAGTAAATCTTACATCAAATAAATGTATAAAACATAATTAATATGTGCAATAACGAGGTTCTTTGTAGTGAATAGTTCGTGGTACCATGAACAGGTTTGGAGCCTGGATGGAAGGAGAGTGTTTACATGTAAACTTAGGGTAAACCAAGTAGCCTGGTAAATTATACACTTAAATTTTTCTCATCTGTAATTTAAAAATAGTAAAATATTTTAAGAGTTGACATGTATTATAATGCTATGCATATGTGCATGTACATTAACTGGATAATCAATTCCATATTCTAAAAGTGGAAACAAAACATCTGACAGAATGGACCCTAGTATCACAACACCAAGCAGTGTATTACATAAGATAGTTTTTCTCAATAAATTATTCTATTAATTTTTTTCCATGACCCTTCCAGTGGGAACCTATTATCTCTGTATGGGAAAATTACATAGAGGTTGGTTCTTGTGTTTGTTTCTATATAGTTTAAACCAGAATGCTTACAACCTCACAATTGTTTCTTTGAAATAAATGGAATAAAGAAAATATCTAACAAATGCGAATAGAAATATACCTTTGAGCAAAGAAAATCATACCTGTTGCATTTAACTCCCTACATCATAGAGGATGAAAATGGTAGAAGAGACAATGCCTGGCCCAAGAGTTTTGATCTTTCTCTATTGGACTCGTTTCTTTCTCAAGAACACCCCCCACTTCTTGTGCCCAGTTTTGAAAGCTTCCATCTGAAGCTTTCATGGAAAGAGTAGGACTGGAGTAGTTACAGGATGTTTGAATCTCAAAATACAGGATAACTTGGAAGTCATCTTGTTAAAGTTTATTTTACAGAAAATGAATCACAGGAGAAATAAACAGAGCACAGTAAGATAAAATGTCCTGTAGAAAACTTAAAAACTAGGACTATCTGAGTGCCAAGCACTAATCATTAAATTTACCATAAACACGATCTGATCTGAGCTTTTGTTGAACATTCCACCTAGTTGTGGCAAGAAATAATGTATTACCCCCGAGAAAGCCAGTCTGGTGAAGTGTGAGGGAAACTTGACCCACAGAACAGCCATCTCCATGCTCATAGTGGATAGAATATGGAGAGCACTCCTTTCCCACAAAAGTTCCTAAAAAACAAT